GTCTGGGGTAGACTTGATGAAGACATCAGGCGGACCTTTATTAGCGACTTTGTTTAAGTCCCACAAACTCCACTTGTGCATCATACTCGGGATCCTTATGGCCAGCCATCTCGCAACTTCTCTCAAGTCCCAAATCCTTACAACCAGCCACCTAACCCATACAATCACCCACCTAACCCATATAACCAGCCCCCTAATCCATATAATCAGCCTCCACATCCCTATAACCAGCCCCCAAACCCCTACAACCACCCACCTACGCCTTAGATGGCCAAGTGTAGTTTTACATGGTCCCATTTTCCCCCATGGTGGACTACGGATTAGTGTCTAGTAATAGCATTCGAGTGTTGTCTACATAGACTGCTTTATTTGAGTAACTTGTTCTCCACTATAATGTTTAAGTTGATTATGAGTTGTATTATTTATTTCTGAGTAATGTGCTTGGACCATTGTTCCTGATTGTTGTGATGTAATTGATTTACAAACATTTGAGTTGTTGGACCATTTGAGTAATTGTTTTAAATACACTTGAGTTATAACCCATTCCTATTTTAGTATGGAAATTGTGCTACACGAAGTGGATAAGTACAATTGAGATCGTACTTGTAATAACTTGTTTGGTAATGTGTCGTTACAAGTTAATGTGAAAGCAACATAATGCAACCACAAGGATCAACGAACGAACGTCACGAAGTGGATTCAAGAAGAGCTTCCCGCCGAAGAAGGGTCTACCTTGCAGCAATAGCAGCCGCTACAGCCGCATCCGCCTTTATTTTTGATGACCAAGTACCAAGGCCGATGCATAACTCATCTTTAAAGGGTATAGACAAAGTGAACGAGTTATTAGCAAATAATAATGAGGCGGCAATGTTTAACAAGGTGCGTATGGGACCACGTGCATGTATGATTCTTTGTGAAGTACTAACTGAGAGATGCTTGTTACAACCCACAAACAACATGAACGTCCCAGAACAAGTATTTGTCTTTTTAACTATCGTTGCACAAAGTCAAACTAATCATGATGCATAAGATGTATGGCAACATTCTGGGGAGACCATTTCACGGAGATTCAGTGACGTTCTAGACGCCATTGTGCACTGCACGATGATTTCATTAAACCTCCAAACTATGATAAAGTTAGTGATTTTGTACGTGCCAATCGTCATAGAGATGGGACGTGGTTGTGCTTCTCAATCTTATCAATTTCAGTAACCTTTTTTAACTTGTGTTTCTTATTAATATGTTACAACTGTGGTTTAGAAAGATACTCACCTCTTTCATTCTGGAACTAATGTTCAGGACTGTGTAGGCACAATTGACGGGACGCATATACCTTGCACACCGATTGGTGTTCAAAATCTGACGGCATACCGCAATAGGAAGGGCGTCAACTCTCAGAATATAATGGCAGCATGTTCTTTCGACATGAAGTTCACGTACATGTTAACTGGTTGGGAAGGTTCAACACATGATGCACGAGTGCTTGCGGATGCGGTCGACACGCAGAGGTTTAACTTCCCACATCCACCGCCTGGTAATTCTTCAAACCAACCATATGATTCTCAATTTATTACCTGTTACAACCTCCAAATTCCAACAAAATTCATTTAAGTTGCACAGGAAAATACTATCTTGTTGACGCGGCATATGCGAACAATGATTGTTTTCTTGCTCCATATAGAGGTGGGACATACCATTTGCCTGACTACCAAAGGAGAAGTGGTGGATTTAAGGGACCTAGAGATATTTATAACTACAAACACTCTTCCTTGCAAAATTGTATAGAGCGAACATTTGGTGTTTGGAAGGCTAGGTTCCCTATCCTAAGGCGGCCCAATAATACTTATCCAATGAACAAACAAGTGAAGATTCCAGTGGCATGTGCAATCTTACATAATTTTATTCACATGTAAAAAAGGGGGACCCGCTTCTAAATCAATACTACTGTGATGGAGTACCGGTTAGTGAGATAGATCCAACCAATATTGATGAATTTGATGACGATGACAATGACGATAATTTCCCTGAGGGGCCAACAGTAACAGGAGCTACTGTTAGCCGAACAGAAATGGGTCGTTTTAGGGATCAGCTAGCGAATGAAATGTGGGCGGAATACCAGAGAAGCCGTGGGAGACAAGTTTGAAAGTGCAAATTGGTTATGGGATTCTACAATATTACTTCATATTCATGTATCAATTATATTTGCAACATGAATGACTATTAGTTGCCTACTTTCTGGTAGACCTTTCATATGAAGTATTAGTCAAGTTTAATTTCCTTAGTGGATTCGTTGCAATTTTGGGATTTTGAGATTAGATTTTGGAGTGTTTACCCAGTATAGGTTGGAATATATATATATATATATATATGTTCTCTCTTTTCGATTTAAGGATCCTAAGCTACGAGTGTGGTTGCTTGAATCTCTGTTTTTACATAATACAAGTTGCATGAAAATCAAACTAATAAGCAGCTAGGCCTTGCATAGCTGCCACAGAGACCTGGGATGAGGACGCTGGTGAGACAAGCAACTACAGTGTGGGACATGAATGCTTGGATCGGCTTTCTTAAAGTATAGCGTTTGTTACAAGTAAGAAAGGTTCTTTATTTTTTTGTATGGTATTTGATAATATGTTCCTGTTACTTCTCAGGTGATGTTAAAGACTTTGGACCATGTGGTGGCAATGGTCTTGAACTCATTTCGTGATCCCCATGGTTTGGCCTTTCTTATACGGAACTTGTCTTGGTATTATAACATTGATTGCTCCTTGTCTAATCGAATTTTATTTTGTCTATTGTTCTGAATTCTTGTCTAGACTTCGGAGAGTGAATACCTATTTATGACTATGACAATTGCAATAATGAAAGAGCAAATTTACAAGGTCAAATCTGGTAGGGCAAACTGTTTTGAACTGGAATTGAACGTATATGGTTCTCCTTTTTGATAGGTAGATACACTGAAGCAAGCATGCTTTATTTTCCTTCTTTTGTTTTTGTTTTTTTGGGTTTTTCCCCTTTTTGTTCATGAATTCCGACAACCTAAACTTTATTTCTATTTTTATTACAGATGTGAGTGAGATGGGTGGTATACACTTTGTGAAGTACCATTCCAAAATAGGCAAACGAAGACATGGACAATTGTTTTGTTTGCTGTTACATTGAGTGCGTCAACCAACTATTTTATGTATATGCTGCAGTTTTCTTCAAATGGAGAAGATCGAGTGGTAGTTGGGACCCTTGATGTTAACCAATGCATAAGGCTTCCAAATGAGATAGTTGGAAAGAAACCACAAGTATTTGATCAAATGTTAATTCATAAATCTGTGTACACACGGATCAGAACTTGCATTATTATGACTATGATTCTTATTGGCAGGAATTGGAGAGACTATTAGCTGCGAAGGAAGGTACTTTGCCTCAGCACCTAGCCTCAGATGATGATATTTCTGTAACCCTTTTGGTGTGAATGCCAGATGGTAAGTATTGGAATTGCTTCATTCTTTACGTACTGAAATTCGATTGAATTGTATGTTGCTTAGGGTATTCAATAGAAATGTTTGTGCACTACTGTTATGTATGTGCTTCATGAGTTGACATATTATTCCTCCCGTGTTAAGGAACTATAGGCTTTAAACAAAAAAAAAGGAGTTCTAGTGGCAGAGGCTATAACCGTTTTTCTCCATTACTTTCTGTTACATATGTAACATGTTTTTCTCCATTCACAGCTTATTTTTCTTGTTGTTACTTCTTTGCAGGAAAGGCTATAACCGGATGATTGTATCAAGGAATGAGGCTGCCATTGAAAATTTATCTAGTACCTCGAATAACGTATTTGATTTGGCAAATTTGGTCCTGAGGATTCTGCATTCTAACGATGGTGCTGTGCTGAGACGACTCTTGCCATTGATCCGGACCCTTTCTTGTATTATACCACCATTACTTTTTGTTTATGGTGTGCTACTTTTCCTTTTGTATTTTACCACTGTTATTACTTATTATTAGCCAATGGCATTGTAGTTACTGTTACATTGAGTTCAAGTCAGCAGATTGCACCTAATCCTTGTGGGTTGTACCTGTAGCTGCTTCTTTCCTTGTTTCTTGCCACATTTTAATTACTTGTGTTCTCCGTTTAACATTTTTGTCCGAATTGATTAATAGTAGGTGCATCAAATCATTTTTTTCTAGTAATTAGCTTGTTATATAATGGAAGCCGTGGGAGACAAGTTTGATATATGCTTGGCTTGTTATATAATTTTATTCACATTTTTTTCATTTATTTCTCACTTAGCTTGTTATAATTTTGAGTTATAATTATTTGCATAATTTTTTTCTAGTACTTCATTTTTTTAATTATATAACGAATTATATTTTTTTTTAAATTACACGTAACGAATTATATTTATTATATAATTTTTTAAATTACATTATTTTGGTCATGATTCAAATTCAGAAAACAAGACAACCAAACACTGGTTCGAATCACATTTCAGGTTAGAATCAGAATCATGCATATACAAATCCAATGAAGGTTGTAATCACCCTGAATCATGATTCAAATCATGAATTATGATTCAAATCAAAAGACTCAAATTACCTTAATTTTAATCCTTATACCAAACGGACTCTTAATATATATAATAATTTTGAGAGAGTTTCTCTAAAAGAATTAAAAAATGAATTTTTGATAATTATTTATTTTTAATTGTTATATTTATATTAAAAATTATATATTTTTTATATTTTTTTATTTTAATATGTTTTTAATTAAATTTAATAATTAAAAATATATCTCTATTAGTACGAGGTCTTATAGAAAAAATTTCTTAATTTTGATATAAATTAAAAATGAGTGGAATACATTTTGAATTCTAAAAAATTTTAACGTTTAATTTATAGATTAAAATTATGAGATTAAAATTATTTTTAATTTATATATATTTTTTATAAAAAAATATTATAACGAACTCCTTACATCTGACATTTTCCCAAATTGGAATTTTTCTTGTTTTTGTTCCAGTCGCACCAAAAGTCTTCTTCCATTTCTTTCTTCCCGCCGATTGAAACCCTAATTCAGCCAACAACCCCATTTTGCATCCCTTGTTCTCCCGAGTTATCCTCTTCCATGGCGTCTTCTTCCTCCGGCCTTGGCGATTCGTCGTTGAAGGACCGTTCCTCAGCGAGCGGCGTAGTTTCTCCCGAGGAACCTCTCCGGAACTGGCTGGAACTGCCACGGGAGGTGACGGCATCGATCTTCTCTCGGCTGGTCGCGACGGAGATTCTGAAGACCATTCAGTTTGTGTGCAGGTCGTGGTTCGACATCTGCAAGGATCCTCTGGTATGGCGCAAAATCAACATGTATAACCTCGGCGAAGCAGGTCTGAATATGGTGTTGGACAGGATGTGCCGCCACGCCGTCAATCGTAGCCGTGGAAATCTGGTTGACATCAACATCGAATACTTTGGAAATGATGATCTCCTCAAGTACATCACCGATAGGTATTCGATCGATTTCTCTTACTAGAATCGCTTGTTTCTTTTTTTCTCTTTCGAATTTCATTTAATCTATTTTTGGAATCTAATCGGTGGAAAATTTTGTGCGCGTTTGGTTTTAATCTCAAAAACGTTTTTCACGTTTTTCGAGGAGCAAAAACTAAAAATAATATAAAAAAAGCGCTTGGTTTGTGTTTTCTTAAAAATTGAAACTGAAAACGTTTACCTTTTCATATTTTGTATACATTTCTGAAAACGGTTTATACTCGTTTTCATTTTCTCGTTTTTAATTTTCTTTGTTTTTAATTTTCTTCTCTTTCCATTTTCTTCGCCTCTCCTTTCCTTCTTTCCTCGTTGTTCCTCGTTCTTCAGCGCGTCGGCGGGAGCTTCGCCGTCTGGGGAGGCATCTTCTCCGCCTTCGACTGCACCATGGTCTACGTCCGCCAAAAGGAGGATCCTTGGAACTCGATATTCGCCGGCGCCGCCACCGGCGGCTTCCTCATGCGCCTGGGGTTCGCCGCCTCGGGTAGGGATGGGCTTCGCATGGCGAAGATGGCGAGGATTGGTGGCTCGGCTGAGGAAGGCTTGCCGGCGGCTGGGAGGGATCTTCGGTGCTCACCATGGTGCTCTGACACTAACAACTTCTGAAGAACCCAATCGCCATCAAATCAAATCTCCAAGCCAAACAACTCCACGCCCAGATTCTCAAAACCTCAACAAACCCATCTCCCTTAAATCTCCTCTCTTCTCTCTCTATGAGGGAAGATTAGATGAATATAAATTAATGGCTGAGATTTGGTGTACTACAATCAAGGGCCCATATGATATGGGTGCTTATGAAATTTTCTTCAACATAATGCTTATTCATTGTTATTTTATTATGTCCATACTGGGTAATAGCTTTGTTAACTAGTAAGTATAATATTAATTATTTAATATATTCTTTAAAATACTATTAGATGTTTTAAAAAAATATATAATCAAACGGAGTTTTAGTTTTTTCTTATATTGAAAACAATCTTTCAATAAAACTACTTGACACATTTTTAGAAACGATTTCTACCTGAGATTGAAAACGTTTTCATTTTCAATTTCATATAAAAAACAGAATCATTTTAGAACCAATTCTAAACGCATTTGATTTTTTCTTTTTGAATTTGGTAGTCTGTTAATCTGGAATTATAGGGTTTCCTTTCATCTGCTTGTCAACCGTTGATTTTCTGACATCTTATCTGTAAATTTGGCGTCTTATGATTTTTTGTATGGTGTCATTCATTGAATTTCGCTCTCGAATTTTAAAAAAAAATTTCAACTTCGATAGGAGTCTCAGGGTCTCACTATAATAGAAAGTGTGTTTGTTCTTGGATTTTGAAATGTATGGGATTATTGTCAGTATATTTGCTTGCTGCATTCAATCTTTTGCTATTTATAATTCTGCTTTATAAGGGTTTTGCTTTTTCTAAATAGTATATGCTTGCCGTGTCTTCTAATCTAATTAGGTTTGAACTAATAATTGTTGGATTTTGCATGGTCTCCTTGTATCATTTCTGTATTGAAGATTACTGGCAAACGACTGTTATGATAACTAATTGAAGCTAATAAAACAAATTATGTCAATTGTTCTCCTTTAATATCGACTGTCTTCACCATCGACCATGCAAGATAACTTTTTTTTTTTTTTTTTTTGGCATTTTAAGTGATCAAATCTGGGATAATATGGTTTGTCTTTTGGTGGATAGCATGAGAGTTTTATGAGCTTAGGTGTAAATTGTTTTCTTTCAAGTGGCATTGTTTTTGGCTTGTTAAGGAAAATAGTGACTGATCTATTGGCTGCCATGTTGCTTGGAAAATGTTTTTGCATGTCAACGGTCCCAAATTCACGACAACTTTGCTGAAACAATTCTTCAATTAAACGAAATAAACGTCTCCTCTTTTCGTTCTTTTTTTCCTCTTTAATATGGTAGGTTTGGATGTAATGGTGCGTCACTAAGAGAACCCTCCTTAAATTGTGAAGCATCATACTGCAGATTGTTATAAAAATTTCTAAGCACTTGTTTGTTCTTGTTTTTCGTCCCTGATAAGCTTCAAAGCATATTTTGTTTGTCCTCCTTTGGTGAAATGGAAAAAGAGGAGGGGAAAGAAAATAGTGTGAATAAAAGTTGTAGTGGGTCTCATAGAATTTAATATTTTGGGTGGATAACTTGAAAACAAATAGTAGGGATGTAAATGAGGTGAGCAGGGAGGTTTTTTTTTTTTTTTTTTTTCGGCCCACCCCATTTATAAATAGGGCGGAGCATGGCAAAAACCGGTGGGATCGTGGTGCCCCGACTCAATGCACCTGCCTTTTTTTTTTTAATTTTTTAATTTTTATTTTCTCGCTCGCATAAATGGAGGGATTTGTTTTGAAGGTGATGTTGTAGCCCTTGGTCAGGAAACATCAACAAATTTATCTTTCAAGAGAAAAAGAAACAAATAATCTTGCATTCCAAAACTACCTTTTCATCTTTGTTTTAAAGTAAAATAATACAAGTAGATGAACAAAATAGTAATTTACAAAACTTTCATTTTCTTTCCTTCCTATTACCAATTACCAACAACCTAAAAGAAGCCTAATATTTTCTATCATTTTCAATTTTCTATCTCTTACATGTTTCCTCTCTATTATGGTGAGGCCGTTGGTTTGCCCCCACAAGGTATGGGTTTGAACCACCATGACAAAGTCTTAGTGCCTTCCAAAGATTGTAGATTTGACAGAAGACTCTAGTTTCCAATCCGGGCTCACAAAGTGAGTTTGGAGATTTTTGAATACTAAAAAAAATATTGTGTTTGACGAATCTTCAAGGATTCGTTGACTCTGGTTTTAAGGGAATTTGTTCCCTGATTTCCAGAGTCAATATAAGCTGGAAATTCTTGTATATTAGGCCTTTGTGTGTTATTAGTGCTGAATATTGTGTTACCATAAATAGCTCCTTGGTAGACTGTTTTGTAATCTTTAAATAGGCTGTACAGTTTATGAGAAAAATATCAATTAGTTCATCAATTTGTTCATGGTATCAGAGCATTAGGATTATTCTTTCTGCCCCCTTTGTTTCCGTTGAAAAACACCCTTCAATACCTGTTTTTTCTTCCCGTGCCAGCCTTTCTTTTTCTGATCAGAAAAAATGTCTCAAAATTCCAGCACAGAACAAACTTCCAGCACTAACACTAGCACTCCCACTACCGAAACCCTCTTAAATTATTCCTCTCAACAATCCTCTGGTGAATATCAGAATTTACAGCCCTCATTTAGGCTTAATGGCCGTAATTATCTTGTATGGTCGCAACTCGTGAGGACTTTTCTAAAGGGTAAGGGAAAACTGAGTCATTTGACAGGTCCGATTCTGTAAGAGAGTGATCCAAAATTTGCTGCTTGGGACATAGAAGATTCTTCGATCATGTCGTGGCTTTGGAACTCAATGGTGCCTGAAATCAGTGGGACGTGCATGTTTCTCACAACTGCAAAGGACATATGGGACACGGTGAAGCAAACTTATTCAAAGGTTCGTGATGCAGCCCTTATTTTTGAAATCAAAAACAAAAATTCACTCAACCAAAGAAGGTACTCTCTCGGTCACCGAGTACTATAATAAAATGAAAGGTCTTTGGTTAGAACTCGATTACTATCAAAATATTAAGATGAAGTGCAGTGAAGACGCAGCCATGATGTTAAGATTTGTTGAAGGAGAAAGAGTCTATGAGTTCCTAGTGGGGCTGAATGTCGAATTCGACCAAGTACGTGTCCACATACTCGGAAAAGAGTCTCTTCCAAGCCTGAGTGAAGTCTTTTCCACCATTCGAAGTGAAGAAGGAAGGAGGGGAATTATGCTTGAAACCCCACTGAATGAAGGAGCAGCGCTGATTGCCACGACTTAAGCAACAACCAATGGAGATTTAGTGAAACACGAGACTCCAAGGACCCCGAATAACATGACCAGACCTTGGAACAGTGGTAGAGAGATCAAACCTTCGAACAACAGTACAGAAAATCTGTTTTGTAACTACTGCAAGAAAACAGGTCATATCAAAGACATTTGTTGGAAACTTCAGAGGAGAAACAACCCGCAACGGCAGTATGTAGTGCACAATCAAGCAGCCAACATCGCCAGTACCGAAGAAGGCACTACTATTGCCGAAGTGAATGGGTTGAATAAGGAGGAAATTGAAAAACTACGAAGCTTTCTCTCACTACAATTGAAAAACCAGTGGGTTCATGTTCCATGGCCCAATCAGGTAAGTTTTCCTCAACTCATTCCTTGAGTACTTCAAAGAACAGTTTTTTTGGAATTTGGATAATTGACTTAGGAGCCACCGACCATATGACACATTCTTCCAATATTTTTTCATCTTATACACCGTGTTCTAGCAGCCAAAAGATAAAAGTTGCCGATGGAACCTTTGCCGTAGTTGCTGGAAAAGGAACCATAAATCTCATGTCTTTCCTTTCTCTAAAATCCGTTCTTCACGTTCCCAAATTGTCAGTCAATATATTATCAATTAAAAAACTCACCTCTGATCTGAATAGTAAAGTTCTTTTTTATCTTATGTATTGGGAAATTCAGGACCATGATACGGGGAAGATGATTGGGCATGCTAAGGAACAGGAAGTGCTTTACTACTTGGACACTAGTGGTGGTAATGGTGAAATCAGTTGCATTTCGCAGTCATATTTGGTAGAAACCCAGTCTGCTAAAAGGGCTCAAATTTGGCTACATCATGTTATAATGGGTCATCCATCTTTTCCTTTGTTAAAGACTATCTTTCCCTTGTTAAAGACTATCTTTCCCTTGTTATTTCATAAGATTGATGTTAAAGATTTCAATTGTGAGGTGTTTCAAATGGCTAAACACCATAGAGTTTCATATCCTTTAAGCAATTCAATAACATCTCAACCTTTCTCTTTAGTTCATACTGATGTGTGGGGACCCTCTAGAATTTCAAATATTAACGGGTCTCGATGGTTTGTTTCATTCATAGATGATTTTTCAAGGACTACTTGGCTATTTTTGATGAAAAACAAGTCTGATGTGAGTAATTTTTCCTATGTTTCATAAAATGGTTTCCACTCAATTTGGTGTTTGTATTAAACATATTCTGTCTGACAATGCACGAGAATATTTCAATCAAGTCATGTCACCATTTCTCCAAGAAAAAGTTAAAATCCATGAGTCCTCTTGTGTTGATACTCTCCAACAAAATGGGATTGCAGAAAGAAAAAATCGCCATCTCCTTGATATCACCCGTGCTTTGTTGTTTGAAAAAAATGTGCCTAAATTCTATTGGGGAGAAGCCGTCCTAATAGCCACATATTTGATTAATTGCTTGCCCAGTAGAGTGTTAGGAAACAAGTCACCTATTGATATTCTACTCCACTCACTTTCTAGATGTTAAGAGAACCCAACTTCCATTAAAAACCTTTGGTTGCACAACCTATGTCCATATCTCAAAGAAAAACCAAAAGAGCAAACTTGATCCAAGAGCTTTCAAGTGCATCTTTCTAGGATACTCATCAACACAAAAGGGATATAAATGTTATCATCCGGCCTCAAGGAAATTTTGTCTCTAAAGATGTCACTTTTGCTGAAAACTAAAAGTTTTATGATCCAAGTTGTCTTCCGGGAGAAATGAGAACCGAAGATAACCTTGATTTCCTTCAATTTGATCCATCAAGTTCGGTTCTTACAACAACAATTTCGTTGAACTCCGATCATGAACATACAGCAAGTCTATTGGGTCAGGAAGAAACAACCTCGTCCAGTCATGCCCGACAAAATAGTCTTGTTCTTGAGTCTTTCCCAAACCAGTCGAGTCCTACTGGTGAGCCTAGTGAAACTCTTCCTCAGTCCACCATTCCACTGCAAGTGTACTCAAGAAGAAAACCAGTTCTTGAACCCATGCACAACCAATCATCTGAATCAAATCCCATAGCCAACTTCATTTCATACGACCATCTCTCCTCGTTCCACAGAACCTTTCTCACCAAATTAAACACCATTGAAATTCCAAAAACTATTCAAGAAGCACTTGGGAATGGGGAGTGGAAAAGAGCCATGATTGAGGAAATGAGAGCACTTGAGAAAAACAATACTTGGGAGATTGTGGAGTTGCCTAAAGGAAAAAAGGTTATTGGGTGTAAGTGGGTATTCACAGTGAAATATAATGCGGATGGGACTCTTGAGAGATATAAAGCCAGGCTTGTTGCCAAAGGTTACACTCAAACATATTACATAGAAACATTTGCCCCTAATGCGGATGGGACTCTTGAGAGATATAAAGCCAGGCTTGTTGCCAAAGGTTACACTCAAACATATTACATAGAAACATTTGCCCCTGTAGCCAAAATGAACACCATTCGGATCTTATTATCACTGGCAGTTAATCTAAACTGGACTCTGCAGCAATTTGATGTAAAAAATGTGTTTTTGCATGGAGATCTAGAGGAGGAAGCCTACATGGAGGCTCCACCTAGATTCAACCAAAACTTTGGGACTAACCATGTTTGCAGGTTGAAAAAGGCTCTATATGGTTTAAAGCAGTCCCCAAGAGCATGGTGTGGAAGGTTTGCAAAGGCAATGGAGAGAATTAAGTACAAACAATGTCCAGGAGATCACACTCTCTTTGTGAAAAGATCAACAGCCGGAAGGTCACTGCTCTAATTGTGTACGTTGATGACATAATTGTGACAGGTGATGACACAGAAGAAATTGGAAAGTTGAAGACTCATGTCTCTAGGGAGTTTGAAATAAAGGACCTAGGAAAGCTCAAGTATTTCCTAGGAATTGAAATCGCTCACTCAAAGCTTGGAATTTTCCTCTCTCAGCAAAAATATATCCTGGATCTACTAAAAGAAATTGGCATGCTCGGATGCAGACCATCTGAAGTTCCCATTGACTACACTCACAAGTTGGGAGAAGTTGTTGAAAGTCCAGAAGTGGACAGAGGAAGGTACCAAAGATTGATTGGTAAACTTATCTATCTGTCACATACCAGGCCAGACATTGCTTATGCTGTAAGTATTCTAAGTCAGTTTATGCATGCTCCACGAGAAGCTTACCTGAAAGCTGCGTACAAGGCTTTGCAGTACTTGAAGGGCACTCTAGGAAATGGAATCTTATTCAAGAGAAATGGCAGACTCGATTTAGAAAGCATACACAGATGTAGATTGGGCAGGATCAATCATCGATAGAAGATCTATCACAGGTTACTGCACTTTCCTAGGAGGAAACCTGATAACTTGGAGGAGCAAGAAGCAAACTGTAGTCTCTAGATCAAGTGCAGAGGCTGAATTCAGAGCAATGGCTCAAGGTATATGTGAGTTACTTTGGATTAAAATTGTCCCAAGTGATTTAGGGATCAAGTGGGAAGGAACAATGAAGCTATACTGTGATAACAAGTCTGCCATTAGTATTGCTCATAATCCGGTTCAACATGATCGAACTAAGCACTTGGAAATCGACCGACATTTCATCAAGAAAAAGCTAGAAAGTGGTCTAATTTCCACTCCCTACGTTCCTACAAACAGACAACTGGTAGACATCTTAACCATGGGTCTATCTGTCACTGCATTTCAAAGCATCGTCCGCAAACTAGGAATGTAAAACATCCACTCACCAGCTTGAGGAGGGGTGTTGACGAATCTTCAAGGATTCGTTGACTCTGGTTTTAAGGGAATTTGTTCCTTGATTTCCAGAGTCAATGCAAGCTGGAAATTCTTGTATATTAGGCCTTTATTTGTAATTAGTGTTGAATATTGTGTTACCATAAATAGCTCATAGGTAGACTGTTTTGTAATCTATAAATATGCTATACAGTTTATGAGAAAAATATCAATCAGTTCATCAATTTGTTCATATTGAATGTTCTCCATCCTTTTTTCTCGTGTTCTTACCAAATGGAGTGTAAACGCCAATAACTAACTTGATCGTGCAGAAGTTTAGTTACCGTGTCTATAGTATTGCTATCTGCTGAAGTCTTGTTCCTTTTGTGACTTTTTTTTGGTAGCTGTGATCAAATCAAACGCCTCCGGCTTGCTTGTTGCTATTATGTTTCAGATGAGGGGTTGATTGAAGCCATTGCAAAGCTTCCATTGTTGGAGGAGCTTGATCTTACACTCTGCTCTTTTTCCCCGGAACCTATAGAAGCTGCTGGCCGCTATTGCCCTCGTCTAAGATCACTGAAGTTGAATTGCCAAGCTTATAGACCTTGGCACAGGGACCCTGATGAGGAGTTGGAGATTAATGAAGAGCCAATTTCTATTGCTAAACACATGCCCGAGTTACGCCATCTGCAGCTTCTTGGAAATCCCATGACTAACATTGGGTTGGAAGCTATTCTTGATGGATGTCGTCATCTCGAGTCACTTGACTTGCGCCAGTGTCTCAGTATTGATTTGAAAGGAAAACTGGGGAAAAGGTGTATGGAACAGATTAAATATATGCGGCTTCCTCATGAATCAACTAAGGGCTTCGAATTTCGCATTGAACCAGATGCTGATGATTATCCTTATAATTTATCTGATGATTGTTATGACGATTTTGATGGAGACTGGCACTCTTGTTGTTTTAGAGACGGTGATTTCGTCTTTGATGAGTATCTTGATGGCGAATTTGATGACTATTCTGACTATGGCAGCGGCGATGGTTCCTTTGATTATGATTATTTTACTGTGCCTGATGACTTCTGATGAATTTGTGATTAAATCAAGAATCAGTGTGAAGAGGTGAAGAATCACCGGTTACAAAAGAAGCATATGCAAAGAGTTGGGTAAATCCTTGGGTATTTAGAATACTGAATAGCTGCATCCATACAAGTATTCTGTGTTTTCTGGACGAGTGTTGGCGGAAGCTTGATAACCTATAGTCAAGAAATCTAAGGATCCTCCTTACGCCTTTTTTTTTTTTTTGGTTGAAATAAACACTAGTGAGGAACTGTCTGTAAACTTTTATTATTTTTTAATGTCGTTTTTATTTTATTATATTTTTTAAAGACGCAAAATAAAAAATTATAGAAAATAGAATATTCATTAGAAAATAGTGCCGTTTGTTGCATTAATTTTTAAAAATCATATATTAATTTAAGAATGCAAAACATAAATGAAAATGTAAATTTTTTACTCATCCCGGCCCCTGAGTTGGCCCCAGGACACCCCACTACGCGGGCTAGGGGTTTTTTGACAGCGCTTTACTTTTTTGTCATTTATTGAGGCTGTTTTTTCTTGCATGCCTAAAAAAATGTGAGGATCATATCTGCAAAATTTTATTATTTTTTCACGTTGTTTTTATTTTATTATACTTTTTAAATACGAAAATAAAGAAAATCATAAAAATTAGAATATTCATCAAAAAATGGTACTGCTTGTTGCATTAATTCTTAAAAATCATATATTAATTTAAGAATGCAAAACATAAATGAAAATGTAAATTTTTTACCCATCCCGGCCCCTAAGCTGGCCCAAGGACGCTCAACTACGCAGGCCGGGGGCTTTTTGACAGCATTTTACTTTTTTTGTTATTTTTTGAGGCCATTTTTTTCACATGTCGAGAAAAATGTGAGGATCATGTTTACAAAATTTCATTATTTTTTGACGTCGTTTTTATTTTATTATATTTTTTAAATACGAAAAATAAAGAAATCATAAAAAATAGAATATTCATCACAAAATAGTGCTTCTTGTTGCATTAATTCTTAAAAATCATATATTAATTTGGGAATGCAAAACATAAATGAAAATGTAAATTTTTTACCCATCCCGGCCCCTAGGCGCCCCACTTCGTGGGCCGGGGGCTTTTTGACAGCGTTTTACATTTTGTCATTTTTTGAGGCCATTTTTTTCTCGCATGCCTAGAAAAATGTAAGGATCGTGTCTGCATAATTTCAATATTTTTTGACGTCGTTTTTAGTTTATTATATTTTTTAAAAACGAAAAATAAAGAAAATCATAAAAAATAGAATATTCATCAGAAAATGGTATCGTTTGTTGCATTAATTTAAAAAAAAATCATATAATAATTTTCAAATGCAAAATATAAATACAAAAGTGAATTTTTTACCAATCCCGGCCCCTGAGCTGGCCCCAGGACTCGCCACTACGCGGGCCGGCGGCTTTTTGACAGCGCTGTACTTTTTTTGTCATTTTTTGAAGCCATTTTTCTGGAATGCCTAGCAAAATGTGAGGATCGTGTCTGTAAAATTTCATTATTTTTTGACGTCGTTTTTATTTTATTATATTTTTTAAAAAACAAAAAATAAAGAAAATCATAAAAAATAGAATATTCATCAAAAAATGGTGCCGTCTGTTGCATTAATTTGAAAAAATCATATATTAATTTAAGAATACAACACATAAATAAAAAAGTAAATTTTTGACCCATCCCAGCCTCTAGGCGCCCCACTTCGCGGGCCAAGGACTTTTTGACAGCGTTTTGCATTGTCATTTTTTGAGGCCATTTTTTTCTGCCATGCCTACAAAAATGTAAGGATCGGGTCTGTAAAATTTTAATATTTTTTGACGTCATTTTTTATTATTATATGTTTTAAAAATGAAAAATAAAGAAAATCATAACAAATAGAATATTCATCAGAAAATGGTGCCTCTTGCTGCATTAATTCCTAAAGATCATATATTAATTTGGGAATGCAAAACATAAATAAAAATGTAAATTTTTTACCCATCCCGACACTCAGCTGGCCCCTGGCCGCCCCACTACGCGGGCTAGGATCTTTTTGATAGGGTTTTACTTTTTTGTCATTTTTTCAGGCCATTTTTTGGCATGCCTAGAAAAATATAAGAATCGTGTCTGCAAAATTTCATTATTTTTTGACCTCGTTTTTATTTTATTATATTTTTTAAGGACGAAAAATAAAAAAAAATCATAAAAAATAAAATATTCATTAGAAAATGGTGCCGCTTGTGGCATTAATTCCTAAACATCATATATTAATTTTAGAATACTAAACATAAATAAAAATGTAAATTTTTGACCCATCCCGGCCCTTGGGCACCACACTACACGGGCGGGGGACTTTTTGACAGTGTTTTACATTTTTAGTCCGTTTTTAGGCCTTTTTTTTGGCATGCCTAGAAAAATGTAACGATCGTGTCTGCAAAAATAGAATATTTTTTGACGTCATTTTTATTTTATTATATTTTTTTAAAACGAAAAATAAAGAAAATCATAAAAAGTAGAATATTCATCACAAAATGGTGCCGCTTGTTGCATTAATTCTAAAAAAATCATATCTTAATTTTTGAATGCAAAATATAAATACAAAAGTAAATTTTTGACCAATCCCGGCCACTGAGCTGGCCCAGGACTCGCCACTACGCGGGCCGGCGGCTTTTTGACAGCGCTGTACTTTTTTTGAAATTTTTTGAAGCCATTTTTCTGGCATGCCTAGAAAAATGTGAGGATCGTGTCTGCAAAATTTCATTATTTTTTGACGTCATTTTTATTTTATTATATTTTTTAAAGGCAGAAAATAAAGAAAATCATAAAAAATAGTATATTCATCAAAAAATGGTGCCGCCTGTTGCATTAATTTGAAAAAATCATATATTAATTTAAGAATATAAAACATAAACAAAAAAGTAAATTTTTGACCTATCCTGGCCCCTGAGCCGGCCCCTAGGCGCCCCACTTCGCGGGCCCGGGGCTTTTTGACAGCGTTTTACATTTTTAGTCATTTTTTGAGGCCATTTTTTCTGCCATGCCTACAAAAATGTAAGGATCGTGTCTGTAAAATTTGAATATTTTTTGACGTCGTTTTTATTTTATTATATGTTTTAAAAATGAAAAATAAAGAAAATCATAAAAAATAGAATATTCATCAGAAAATGGTGTTGTTTGTTGCGTTAATTCCAAAAAATCACATATTAATTTTTAGATGCAAAACATAAATAAAAATATAAATTTTTGACCAATCCCGGCCCCTGATCTGGCCCAAGGACGCGCCACTACGCAGGCCGGGGGCTTTTTGACAGCACTTTACTTTTTTTATCATTTTTTGAGGCGATTTTTTTCACATGCCTTGAAAAATGTGAGGATCGTGTCAACAAAATTTCATTATTTTTTGACATCATTTTTATTTTATTATATTTTTTAAATACGAAAAATAAAGAAAATCTTAAAAATAGAATATTCGTCAAAAAATAGTGGCGCATGTTGCTTTAATTCCTAAAAATCATATATTATTTTAACAATGCAAAACATAAATGAAAATGTAAATTTTTGACCCATCCCGGCCCCTAAGCTGGACCCTGGCTGCCCCGCTACGCGGGCCTGGAACTTTTTGACAGGGTTTTGCTTTTTTGTCATTTTTTTAGGCTATTTTTTTTGCATGCCTAGAAAAACGTAAGAATCATCGTCAAAAAATTTATTTTTTTACATCATTTTTATTTTATTATATTTTTTAAAAATGAAAAATAAAGGAAATCATAAAAAGTAGAATATTCATCAGAAAATGGTGCCGCTTGTTGCATTAATTCTAAAAAAATCATATATTCATTTTTGAATGCAAAACATAAATAAAAATGTAAATTTTTTACCCATCCCGGCCCTAGAGCTAGCCCTTGATGTGGCACCAAGACGCCACACTACGCGGGCCGGGGGCTTTTTGACAGTGCTTTTTTTTTTTTTGCCATTTTATTTGGCATGCCTAAAATAATGTAAGGAAGGTGTCTGCAAAATTTTAATATTTTTTGACGTCGTTTTTATTTTATTATATTTTTTTAAAATGAAAAATAACGAAAATTATAAAAAATAGAATATTCATGAGAAAATGGCGCCGCTAGTTGCATTAATTCAAAAAAATCATATATTAATTTTTGAATGCAAAACATAAATAAAAATATAAATTTTTGACATATCCCGGACCCTGAGTTGGACCTTGAGTTGGCCTCAGTACGGCCCACTACACGGGTCGGGGACTTTTTGACAGTGCTTTACTTTTTTGTCATTTTTTGAGGCCATTTTTTCTGGCATACCTAGAAAAATGTGACAGTGGTGTTTGAAAATTTTATTATTTTTTGACGTCGTTTTTATTTTATCAATAAAAAAATCACAAAAAATAAAGAAAATCACAAAAAATAGAATATCAATAAAAAAAAAGGTTCCGCTTGTTGCATTAATTCCTAAAATTCATAAATTAATTTAAGAATGTAAAACATAAATTAAAATGTAAATTTTTTACCCATCCCATGCACGCGCGATCTCCAGCGCGTTCCAAACCAAGCTCCCGTGGGTCCTGTGCCTCCTCAGTGCCAGCCGACCACCCATTCTGCATGCACCACATGTCTCAGTAGGACCCCATATGTCGGCCAGCATCACCTCCACTTTGACCACGCCAGCACACGCCAACCTCTCCGAGTGCGACACGTGGCCAATTGACTCAATCCTTCCAATTGCATTGCGACACGTGTCTTCAGCGGTGCTGAATATGAATTTCTTCCCTAAAAATCAGAGCAAATTACCAGATTTCTTCCCCAAAACATATATATGATTTCTCCTAATTTATGTATAGTTTTATTTTGTTTCCTTTTCTTTTGTAATTTTCTATTTTTATTATTTGTTTCCTTATTTGATAGGTAACCTCTGAACACTATAAATGTAGGGGTTAGCCTAAGGTTTAAGGATAACATTTGAATATTCAGTTTTCTGTCGTCTTGCTGTCACTCTCATATTTTCTCTCTAGAACTTGTGAGAATGTTTTGCAAGCTAGGCTAGAGTTCTCTTGGTGAGGTTAAAGATGAATTTTTGTTAGTCACCCAATTCGGGCTTTTGATTCCTTGTGCTGTAAGGTTCTACATCCGAATGAATAAAATCTCATCTATCTTCCTTTTACTTTTCAAAATATTATGTGCCAATTTCTTATATAATTATGTCATGCACTATTTTCTTATTTAAATTATTTTACAAATTGTCTTTTACTGCAATATTGTCAAATTGATATATTGTCGATTTTGGATAACTTGTAATGATAATATTTTCATAGCCAACATAGGGATTTAATTTATTCGATCATTTTATTTTGTGAATCAAAACTTGAATTGGTGAACGACACATTAGGGATTCTCGACACCTTACCGTTTTTACTACTGAATTTTCTTCATACAAATTTTCTCCTTTTCATTTTATTTGCAATAAAATCTCAAAAACTCTTCTTTTTCTTTAATTCACTTGTTATTTATTTTGCTCTAACGCTCTTATTTTGCTAATCTTTCTTGTTATTTTATTATCTCTCCATGGATACGACCGCCCTTCTGTGCTACAATTGACCGCTTGTGAACATCACTTTTGAGCGTTAATCAATCATAAAAACTAGAATATTCATAAAAAAAAAATGGTGCCGCTTTTGCATTAATTCCTAAAATTCATATATTAACTTAAGAACGCAAAACATAAATCAAAATGTAAATTTTTGAACCATCTCGGCCCCTAAGCTGCCCCCAGGACGCCCGACTACTCGGGCCGGGGGCTTTTTGACTGCGCTTTACCTTTTTTGTCATTTTTTGAGTTGATTTTCTTTGGCATGCCTAGAAAAATGTAAGGATCATGTCTGCAAAATTTTCTTATTTTTTTACTTCGTTTTTATTTTATTATATTTTTTAAAGATCAAAAATAAAAAAATCCTAAAAAATAGAATATTCATTAAAAAAAATGGTGTCGCTTGTTGCATAAATTCCTAAAAATCATATATTAATTAAAGAACGCAAAACAAAAATAAAAATGTAAATTTTTAACCCATCCCGGCCCCTAAACTAGCCCCTGGACGCCCAACTACGCGGGCCAGGAGCTTTTTGACAGTGTTTTACTTTTTTTGTCATATTTTGAGGCCATTGTTTTCTGGCATGCCTAGAAAAATTTGAGGACCGTGGCTGTAAAATTTCATTATTTTTTTATGTCGTTTTTACTTTATTATATTTTTTAAAGGCAAAAGATAAAGAAAATCATAAAAAATAGAATATTCATCAAAAAAATGTGTTGCCTATTGTATTAATTCCAAAAAATCATATATTAATTTAAGAATATAAAATTTAAATAAAAATATAAATTTTTGACCCATCTCAGCCCCTGAGTTAGCCCTTGGGCGTCCCACTACGTGGGCCGGGGACTTTTTGACAGCGTTTTACTTTCTTTGTCTTTTTTTGAGGCCATTTTTTTCTGGCATGTCTAGAAAAATGTGAGGACTGTGTCTGCAAAATTTCATTATTTTTTGACGTCGTTTTTATTTTATTATATTTTTAAAGATGAAAAATAAAGAAAATCATAAAAAATAGAATATTTTTCAAAAAATGGTGCCGCTTGTTGCATTAATTCCTAAAATTCATATCTTAATTTAAGAATGCAAAAAATAAATCAACATGTAAATTTTTGATCCATCTCGGCCCCTAAGCTGGCCCCGGGCGCCCCACGACACGGGCCGGGAGCTTTTTGACAGCGTTTCACTTTTTTTGTCATTTTTTGAGGCCATTGTTTTCTAGCAGGCCTAGAAAAATGTGAGGACCGTGGCTGCAAAATTTCATTATTTTTTGACGTCATTTTTACTTTGTTATATTTTTTGAAGACGAAAAATAAAAAAAATCATAAAAATAGAATATTCATCAAAAAATGATGCCGCCTGTTGCATTAATTCCTGAAAATCATATATTAATTTAAGAATACAAAACATAAATAAAAAAATAAAATTTTGACCTATTCTGATGTTGAGAATAGCGTTCTAGAAGCATTAGATGTAATATGATATTTATTATTTAATTAATAAAATAGTTTATTCATCATTTTATGTGCATATATTTATGAATATTTTATGAATATTGTTGACGGTGAATTCTCCTCAACAAAAACAGGCCGGGTTACCTCCGGGTTTCCCGTTAGATTACCGGCCTTAGTGTTGAATGTATGTAAGAATTTGTGTGAGGGATGTATCGTGTGAAGATAAAAAGTGTGCACAAATAAGGAACACAAGAGATTTTATAGTGGTTCACTCTATAAAATCAGAGCTACATCCACTATGGTTATATATTTCTTTTGAGAGCGTTACAATTTACATCAATTGTTCTTTCTTGTTCTTTTTTCTCTCGGGTTCCAACCCCCTTCCTATATGGGGTCTTGCCCTTTTTATATTGAAAGCTTCCTTCGCTGGGTTAATTTCCTTCGTAGGTAGAAGCACTCAAGTGCTCTCCCTTTTTAGGCCCAGACGTAGCCCACTAATCACTTGGAATACTGTTCACTCAGCCAATTTAGTCTTCTATTACGGCTTTTTGCGTTCCAGTAACCCTTTTCTGTCCCCTGTGGCGCGGTTTAAGGGTTCGCAATAAATGCCTGCCTTGCAGTCATTCCCCACTTTTGTACGTAATTTGCCACATCAGACTTTTCCCCGAAGAGCATTCCCCTCATCGCCAGTGCTGCTTAACCCAACTGTCCTTCTTGGCTGTTGGTTCCACAGTCGAGGGATTTCTATGTCCTAAGGTCGACGGTACGATATGTCGATGCTAGAAGGAATCGACGCCCTAAGCTAGACTTTTCACTTGGGTTCTTTATAACAGAATCGGAGGGGGCCCCAGACGTCGAGGGTTGTTGTTTTGCAGGGAGTAGTTAAAGCTACGTGTCATATTATCGTTCCTCCACGTGCCCTTCACATTTTCCCACACAACAGCTACCCCCCAGGTCAAGGGTTCCTTTTAGGCGGCCTTTTTTATCATGGCTTTCGTTTTTCGAACGCTGACTATATCTTTGTCTCGTCGTTTCTGTAGAAATAGCATCTTTGAGGATTCAAGTTCCCGGTAGTCAGCCATCCGAGTCAAGCCAGCAGCCCCCGCCAAGCCAACAACCTCCTTCTAAGGGAAAGGAGAAAGCCATCTCTTCTTCTCAAGGGTCCCCTCGACGACGGAGGAGGATCTTACGCTAAAAAAGAGGCGCAAAGAGAAGACACCGGTGGTAGAAACTTGGACGCCGATGGTCCACATTCCTGACGTAGACGTTCCTCTGGCACCGAGGGAACGCGTGCTCATTCCGGGGGCTAAAGGGGCGATGCTAAAACTTCTCCCCCGCTTCTCCCTTGCTTTCCAGGCTCTGTATGAGTCTTTTCTTGAGCCACACTGGGTTGCTGCCACACAATCTTCTTTGGTTGATCGCCAGCGAAAGCAGATCTCCTTCCAAATTCACGTAAGACTTGGTCGAGCTGTCTTTCATTTTTGTTGGTTTTGCCACATTTTATCCTTGTTTTCTGACCTTCAATTTGTCAGGGCCTAATCCTTGCCATTCTCAATCTCCTCAACCTAGTTAAGGTTGAGGAATATAATAAGGAGATGGACAGCGTGGAGGCCAAGCTCAACTCTCTTATCGATGACACCAAGAAAAAGTGCTCGGATGCCGTCGAGGAGAGAGATATGGCTGTGGCCAAACTGTCGAGTTTGGAAGATGAACTGGCCAAGTTGACTGCTTCGGTCAAGGAGCTTACGAAGCTGGCAGATCTGTCCGATGCAAAGTTGGCCGAAGCAGCTGAGGCAGTGAAAAAATGTTTTACCGAAGGGAAGGCGGAGGGGAAGAAGGAAGCCGAAGCTGAGGCTACAGCTACTTTCGACGCCAAGCGTGCTGAAATTATTGAGGAGTTCAAGGCTTCCTCGGAGCTCATCAACATCCGTACCAAAGATTTTCAATCTGCGGGTCAATAGATTGTTGATTTGATCAAAAAGGAGCGTCCTGAGTGAGACTTGAGCTTCCTCTATACTTCTCCTCCTCCTACTGGCGACAACAACCCTTCCCCGCCTGGTGATGGCGATGAATCGGCGGTTGGCGACGAGGCCTAAAAAATTTTTACCCTTCTCTCTCTCCTTTTTTTTTGTTTGTAACCTGACATTGATTTAGACATCTTTTCATTTTATCTGTACTTTTAATAAAGATAGCAGATTTTATTCATACCTTGCTTTACGATCGTTGCCTTAGAAAATTCTTAGAATTTTGCTAAGTGTTTGTCTTTCCTCCTTGGAGGATATGATGCTGATTTCACCCCTTGGGGTCGTCGCCTTAGAAAATTCCTTAGAAATTTGCTAAGTGTTCATCTTTCCTTCTTGGAGGATCTGATGCTGATTTCACCCCTTGGAGTCGTCACCTTAGAAAATTCCTTATAATTTTGCTAAGTGTTCGTCTTTCCTCCTTGGAGGATCTGACGCTGATTTCACCCCTTGGGGTCGTCGCCTTAGAAAATTCCTTAGAATTTTGCTAAGTGTTCGTCTTTCCTCCTTGGAGGATCTGACGCTGATTTCACCCTTTGGGGTCGTCGTCTTAGAAAATTCCTTAGAATTTTGCTAAGTGTTCGTCTTTCCTCCTTGGAGGATCTGACGCTGATTTCACCCCTTGGGGTCGTCGCCTTAGAAAATTCCTTAGAATTTTGCTAAGTGTTCGTCTTTCCTCCTTGGAGGATTTGACGCCGATTTCACCCCTTGGGGTCGTCATGTTATTTTTTTTTTTTAGCGATCCGTAGACCTTTGTCCCCCCATGTATGTTTAATATACCTTGGTTTTTTAAGCAGACATGTTATTAAGGGATGAATTCCTTTCCTTCTGCAAACATAACAATTTATTTAATTCGTAAAGAATGTACAATTGGGATGCGTAAGAATTACATACACTATTGGTAGCATAGCCTTAGCTGCTCTGCATTCTATGGATGTTGAATTCTTTTGCCACCGAGACTTTCCAAAATGTAGGGCCCTTCCCAAGTTGGGCCAAGTGGACCAGTATTTTTGGGTTTTGTATTCTGCGTTACCCTTTTAAATACTAGATCTCCTAGGACGAATCTTCTTTGTCGAACTCTCTTGTTGTAATATCGTGCTGCTCTTTGTTGATAGGCGGCGAGGCGTAGTTAGGAGTCGAGCCTCTTTTCTTCCAACAAGTCGAGTTCTCCGTTCATTCCTTCTGTGTTGTCGTCGTCGTTGTGGACAACGTTTCTCAAGATCGGCGTTTTGATTTCTACAGGGAGCACTGCCTTGACGCCATACGTCATGGAGAAGGGTGTTTCACCCATAGTAGTTCGGCTCATCGTTATGTATGCCCATAAGACCTTGGGGAGTTCTTCGGCCCATTTCCCTTTTAGATCGTCGAGTCTCTTTTTGAGGGTATATTTTAATATTTTATTGACCGCCTCAACTTGTCCATTAGATTGTGGATGGATTGGCACCGAGAAGTCTTTCCGAATGCCTAAAATGTCATAGAATCTGCGTGTTGAGGCATTGTCGAACTGTTTTCTGTTGTCAGATACTATTGAGTGGGGAACCCTAAACCTGCACACAATGTTGTCCCACATGAATTTGGTGCAGGCTGCTTCCGTGGTCGTAGTTAAAGCTTTTGCCTCCACCTATTTCGTGTAGTAGTCTACCATGATGATGGCAAACTTAAAGCCTCCAGGTGCAAGGTGTAGTGGCCCGATTAGGTTAACCCCCCATTTGGCGAAGGGCCATGGACTGAGAATCGATGTTAAATTTTCTAGGGGTGCTCGAGGAATTATAGCATACCTTTGGCATTTATCGCAACGTCGGGCGTATTAGAAAGCTTTCTTTTTTAGCGTGGGCCAGTAGTATCCCTGCCTCAAAACCTTAAGAGCTAAAGACTGTCTCCCAGTATGATTACCGCAGACTCCTTCATGGATTTCTCAGAGGACCTTCCGGGCTTCGGCATCATCCAGGCACCGCTGTAGAGGTGTTGAATAGCCTCGTCGGTAAAGCAAGCCATCGTACAATAAGTATCTAGCAGCTTGGTATCTGATCCGTCTGGCTTCATCCTTATTGCTTGGCAGTTGTGCGTCTATTAGGTATTGGATGAGTGCCGTCATCCAATTTTCATCTGTTTGGACGATTAATGCCTTAGCTTTTTCCTCAATGGTCGGCCGCTCCAATTCTTCGATGGGAACGACCCCTAGTGTGTCAGAATCTGTCGAAGATGCTAGCTTTGCTAGAGCGTCGGCGTTTGCGTTTTCGGCTCGTGGTATCTGAAGTATCTCATAGTTTTTAAACTTGACGAGTTCTTCCTTTACCTTTCTCAAGTACGCTCCCATTTTCTCGCCTCACGCTTGGTATTCTTCTTTCACTTGCCCGACGACCAATTGAGAATCGCTGAAGATGCTGAGCCTCTCGATCTTTAGGTGGCTGGCCAATTGCAACCCCGCAATTAGCGCCTTGTATTCTGCCTCATTGTTTTGACGCCTTGAATTTAAATCGAACCGCCATGGTAATCTTGTGGTTTTCTGGGCTGATTAACAAGACGCTAGCTCCTGACCCGTTATCGCTCAACGCTCCATCTACGTAGAGCTTCCATTCTGTATTCTCGACTCCTTCAGGTGCGGCGGGAGCCGGTCTATGGAGAACTCGGCTAGAAAATCAACCAGCGCCCGGCCCTTGATCGCAGTCCTTGGCACATATTTAATGTTGAATTGGCTTAATTCTACCGACCATTTGAAAAGTCGCCCGGAAGTTTCGGGCTTTTGTAGAGCCTGTCTCAACGGGTGATTTGTAAGAACCCGTATTGTGTGGGATTGGAAATAGTGCCTAAGCTTCCTTGAAGCTACCATTAGGGCGAGGGCCAAGCGTTCTATTTCGCTATATCTCGATTCGGCGTCGAGGAGCCTTTTGCTCACATAGTAGATTGACAATTGCACCCTTTCTTCTTCTCTTATTAATACGGAGCTTACAGCGTGTTGGGACACGGAGAGGTATAGGCTAAGCTCTTCGTCGGGGTTTAGTTTTGACAGGATTGGGGGCTTGCCCAAATGTTCCTTTAATTTTTAGAAGGCCTCTTCACATTGCGGTGTCCACTTAAAGTGCCTACTTCCTTTCAAAGCGTCGAAGAAGGGGACGCATTTGTCTATTGCCTTTGATATAAACCTGTTTAGGGCGGCGACACATCCTGTCAACCTTTGCACTTCCTTCGGCTTAGTTGGGGACTGCATATCCTGCAAGGCTTTAATCTTCTCAGGGTTAGCTTCTATCCCTCGGTCGCTGACCATAAAACTGAAGAATTTCCCCGACCCAACTCCAAAGGCACATTTCTAGGGATTTAGTTTCATGTGGTATTTTATCAATGCACCAAACATTTCACCTAGATGGTCGACGTGCTGGCTGGCCCTGGCGCTTTTCACAAGCATATCATCGACATAGACCTCCATTGTCTTGCCGAGCTGTTGAGCGAACATCTTATTCATGAGTCTCTGGTAGGTAGCCCCCACATTCTTCAGGCCAAAAGGCATCACCTTGTAGCAGTAGAGGCCCCTGTCGGTTATGAAGGATGTGTGCTCCTCGTCGGCTGGATCCATGGGGATCTGGTTGTATCCGGAGTAGGCATCCATAAAACTCAGCATCTCATGTCCTGCTGTGGCGTCGACCATCTGATTTATTCGAGGGAGTGGAAAGCCATCCTTTGGGCAGGCTTTGTTGAGATCGCTGAAGTCGACGCATGTTCTCCAGTTTCTGTTAGGCTTGATCACCAAAATGGGGTTTGAGACCCAACGTGGGTAATGGGCCTCCCTGATGAACCTATTGTTGATCAGCTTGTCGACCTCCTCTTTCAGCGCTTCATGCCTCCCGGGTTCATTGGTCGACGCTTCTGGCGCTTGGGAGGATATGAGGGGTCGACGTTTAGGGAGTGACATATAACCTCGGCGTCGATCCCTTCCATGTCAGCATGATTCCAGGCGAAGACATCTAAGTTTTTTCTGAGGAAGTTTTCGATCTCGACCTTAAGTGATGGGGCTAGATCCGAGCCTATTTTTAGTACTTTGGTTGGCTCGCCTTCATCAACTTGGATTCCCACCAATTGCTCGATGGGTTGGGACCATGTGACCTCCTCTTGAACCCTGGGGTCTATGTCTTCAATGGTGTTTTGATAGACCATCCTAGTTTCCTGTCTCCCTAGCTAGTCGTATCCGCGCAGGGCATCAGAGTATGCAACCCTAGCCTCATACTGGTTGCTCTTCATTTCACCTACGCCGTTTGGGGTAGGGAACTTGACTTTCTGGTGGTAGACGGAGGTTATTACTCTTAGCGCCTGAAGGGTTGGTATCCCGATTACAGCGTTGTACTGGGAGCCTCCCTTTATTACCACAAAGTTGGCCATTGTCATACTCTGTCGAGGTTTTTCTCCCGCGGTTATGGGTAGCCGGATAGTCCCCTGAGGGATGACGGAGTCCCCGGTGAAACCGTATAATGGCCTGGAGGTCTTTTCCAACTGCTCCTTTCGGATCCCCATTTTTTCCAAGCAGTCGGAGTATAGGAGGTCCACCGAACTCCCATTGTCAACCAGGATTTGGCACACAGTGTGCTTCCCAATCATGGCTTCCGCCACCAATGCGTCATTGTGGGGGAAGTGAACTCCGATGGCGTCGTCCTCATTAAAAACCACGTCAGTGTGGCTATATCTTGGGGTTTTTGCCGCGGAGACGCTCCAGAACCTCTCCTGGTAAACCCCCTAGCCTCGTGGGCATAGTCCTTCTGAGACCTCCTTGAGTCTCCTCCTATATAGGGACCGCCGAGGATAGTTCGTATGACGCCGACGGGTTCTTGGTCCTCTGGGAGCTAGTTCTCCTCTCGGCGTCGATCGTCATTCTGTCCACCGTGGCCGTCGTTTCGAGGTCTTCACTCGGCTCTGAACTCCTGTAGCCTCCCCTCACAGATTACTCTCTCAATTTCATCTTTAAGGTCGGCGCAATCGTTGGTGTGGTGGCCGACATCGCCGTGGAACCTACAGAATTTATTTTCGTTCCTTCGGCTGGGATCTGATTTCATTGGTTCTGGTCGGCGCAACAGGTTTTCGCGGCCAACCTGGTTGAAAACCTCCTTGACTCCTACCGTTAGCTCGTGGTAGGAATCGTACTTTTGAAACAGTCGAGGCTTACGGGTATCCTCTTGCCTTGGCTTCTTGGCCTCTGGAGCGCTCGTCGTCATAGCTGGCTGCTTGTCTCCGCTTCCTCCACTTCGACGCTTCTTCCCGTCCTGTTTCGCAGGCATCGACCCTTGTTCGGTCCCTTTATTCTTGTTGGACCTATGCTCGGGGTCATTTGCGTCTGCCTCTTCGGCGTTGATGTACCCTTGCGTTCGCGCGAGAAATTCCTTGTAGCTGGACAGGGGTTTTCAGTTCAGCTCTCTCTTGAACGGGGTAATTTTCTTCATGCTAGATAATGCCCCCATCAAGGCTTCTCTGTCTGTTATATCCATCGTGGCGGTGACAGCTTTCCCATATCTTGCGAGCCATTCCCTTAATGACTCGTTCGACTTTTGGTATATCGCCGTCAGATTCTGCTTCGGGGGGACGTATTTTTTAACCCCTATGAATTGGAGGGAAAATGCTTCCTTCAACTCATCCCAGCTTGAGATAGAATTTGGCCTCAGCGTCCGAAACCATCTTCGAGCAGAATCTGTCAAATGGTTTCGGAAAGCTCGGCACATGATTTCCTCAGCATACCCATGTAAGATCATGTGTCCTGTGTACATCTCCAAATGATCATCGGGATCCCCTCGACCATCATATGGTGGGATCGACGGCGACCTATAGTTGTCGGGGAGATGGGGCGCTATTATTTTTACGGAAAATGGATAGTCATGTGTGCGGCTTGGTGTGATGTCGACATTTACCACCTCAGCCACTCGCCTTATGTTCTTTTTCAGGCCTGCCACATCCCCTGTGAGTTTTTGCTCCAGGCTGGCCATACGTTCCATGATGGTGCGCGCTTCCTCTGTTGAGATGGCCAAGCCTGCTACCCTCGACGCCTCTGCCCTTTGAGCGTTGGGTCCGCCCCTTGCCTGGCCGCCCGCCTGTACTGACCCTGAGTCTCCTGGTGGGTTTCCCCCTGGATTCTGGGGTAGTACCTCAGGATTTTCTGGGCCTTTCGGTATTCGATCCTCGGGAGCCCGGAGTCCGGCGGCCCTAAAACGGCTGCCGGAGGATTGGGAAGGTCGAGGCCTAGAAGGGCCCCGGTGATTCTCGCTATCCCCAGTTCCCTCTTGGATATGTGGGTGGTCACCGAGGTTCGGGTTTTCAGCCATGGCAGGTCCTAGTGGCCTCGGGGCGTCTTCTAACGGAGGCATAGAGTTCCTTCCATCCAAGCGCTCAACCACGGTCATTAGCCCACGTACTAGCTCAGTTAGAGTGGTTAGTTGGGCCTGGACCTGCACAGGATCCGGCCATAGCACGTCTGGGAGTGGGACTTCGTTTCCGACCAGGCGTGGATCTTATTCCATCCCGTTATTCCCTAGATGGGTGGCGGTTTCGTTCGTCTGGCTGCCTCGGTTGATGGCCTCAATTCTCTTTCTTAGAGGCGTGCTTGCTAACTATGTTGTTGGGAGTCAAACGCTTTCGGTCCCCAGTGGAGTTGCCAATTGTTGATGGTGAATTCTCGTCAACAAAAACAGGCCGGGTTACCTCCGGGTTTCCCGTTAGATTACCGGCCTTAGTGTTGAATGTATGTAAGAATTTGTGGGAGGGATGTATTGTGCGTAGATAAAAAGTGTGCACAAATAAGGAACATAAGAGATTTTATAGTGGTTCACTCTATAAAATCAGAGCTACATCCACTGTGGTTATATATTTCTTTTGAGAGGGTTACAATTTACATCAACTGTTCTTTCTTGTTCTTTTTTCTCTCGGGTTCCAACCCCCTTCCTGTATGGGGTCTTGCCCTTTTTATATTGAGAGCTTCCTTCGCTGGGTTGATTTCCTTCATAGGCAGAAGCACTCAAGTACTCTCCCTTTTTAGGCCCAGACGTAGCCCACTAATCACTTGGAATACTGTTCACTCAGCTAATTTAGTCTTCTATTACGGCTCTGTGCGTTCCTGTAACCCTTTTCTGTCCCCTGTGGGGCGGTTTAAGGGTTCGCAATAAATGCCTGCCTTGCAGTCATCCCCCACTTTTGTACGTAATTTACCACGTCAGACTTTTCCCCAAAAAGCATTCCCCTCGTCGCCAGTGTTGCTTAACCCAACTGTCCTTCTTGGCTGTTGGTTCCACAGTCGAGGGATTTCGATGTCCTAAGATCGACGGTACGATATGTCGACGCCAGAAGGAA